CTGCTGCTGCTGCTGCTTCGCTAGCAACCGACCGATGCAGCGCAGCAGCAGCAACAGGATGAACGGCAACAGCAGCAGCAAAGTGACTCATAAAAGCAGCAGCAGCGTTGAAGCAGCATAATGCCAGATGCTTAGCCTCAGCTGCTGCGGCTGCTGCTGCTGTTGTTGCTGCTGCTGCTGCTGATTCTGCTGGGATGCTGCGGCCTCCCAGTTGCAGAACCCGCTGCGTATACACCTGAGCAGCAGCAGCAGGTACCCACTGCAGCAGCAAAAATGCATGTTACTGTCCCTGGAACGACAACAGCAGCAGCAGCAAAGGCAGAAGCAGCAGCAACAGCTGCTGTTGCTGCTGTCGTAGAAGAGCCTCCTTACAGCGCAGCGACCACGCATGTATGCAAACTGCTGTTGCAACAGCTGCTGCTATTGCTGCTACTGCTGGTGCTGCTGCTGTTCCTGCTGCTGCTGTTCCTGCTGCTGCCCTGCTGCTGCTGCAGAACAGCAAGGGCTCCCCCTCAGAAGCACGCGCTGCTGCAGGAGCTGAGCTGGTCCTGCTGCAGCAGCTGCTGCAGCAGGAAGTGGTGCTGCAGCAGGACGTGGTGCTGCAGCAAGCGGTGCTGCTGCAGCAAGAGGTGCTGCTGCAGTTGTTGCTGCTGCTGCTGCATTTGCGAGGCCTCAGCTGCTGCAGCTTTGGAGTGTACGATGAGGGATTGGGAGCAGCAATTCTTCATCAGCAAAGACAACACCAGCGGTATCGCTGGGTTGCTGCTGCAGCAGCTGCAGCACGAAGCCGCATACATACACCTCATGCGGTAGAGCAGAAGCGCTGCATAAAGGGCAGCGCCATGGGGTACGAGCTGCTGCTTTTCTTGCTGCTGCTGCTGCTACTGTTCCTGCTGCTGCTGCTGCTGCTGTTCCTGCTGCTGCTGCTGCTGCTGTTCCTGCTGCTGCTGCTGCTGCTGTTCCTGTTGCTGCTGCTGTTGCTGCTCGTGGTCTTGCTCTTGCTACTGCTGTTATTCCTGCTGCTTGTGCTGTTGTTGTTGCTGTTGCTGTTGCAGGTGCTGCAGTAGTTGTTGCAGTGGTTGCAGCAGCAGCAGCAGCAGCAAAGTTCTGCAGCAGAAACGTCTCTAGATCGAAGCAGCTGCTGTGCTTACACCACACCGACCTGCTGGGCTGCTGCAGCTTCTCCTTCGTGCCTTCTTTCATTAAAGAGAGACACCGCAAACGAGGTGAGAACAAGTCTCTTGCTGCTGCTGCTGCTGGTGCTGCTGCTGGTGCCCGTGCTGCTGTTGTTGCTGCTGTTGCTGTTGCTCCTGCGCCTCCATCGGAGCCGCATGAAGACGCAGCAGCACGCGGCGCTGCAGCAGACAAAAACAAAGGCAAGCAGCAACACTGCACCTAAGAACAACAGCAGCAGCAGCAACAGCAGCAGCAGCAACAACAGCAGCAACAGCAACAGCAGCAAACCTACGAGTAAGGCCAAAGGACAGCCGCTTTATAGGAGAGAGCCCGGAGCGAAGATTGAAGGTCGAAGCAGCACCGTTATGCACTTTGC